GGCCCACATGTGTCTTCAAGGATGGTCCTCCATCAGTATATCACTTCACTACCATTTTTTTCATGCATTATACATCATTTTAAAGCATTAAGATAGAGTTTTAGTCCTTGTAAATGGTTTTGAACAACAACCATGTTTTTTTTGAACTCATAGAGAAATAACTGCATACAACTAAAAAATACACAAATATAATAAGGGACTAAGGAATCCTAAAAGAAACTAAAAAATTAGTGTAACCCGCTCCTTTACCTCCTCAAGAAAGAGGGTGTAGTGTGGAAATCAAGAACAAAGTCTCCATGTAAGCTTCAAAGTGTTTCCATGCACAATGAAAAATAAAGAAGAGGAAAAAAAGATTAGAAAATTGAAAGGGGAAAAAAGATAATGAGGAAACAGGTAGGAGAACTTGCCTATGGAGAGAATCTAGGAAGAAGTTTTTGAAAACTCTCTTCCTCCCCCACAAATTGGTTGACCCACACAAAGAAGAAGGTGTAGAGACCTTATGTTGAGTTATATAGGAGGAAAATTTAGGGTTTGAGTGAGACTTACATAATCTTGCTTTGTTTTGGATAAATTAAATTTCTTAACCACCTTGAATCTCTCTATTAGTCACTTACCTAGGTTTTATGTTATATTATTTTAAAAAAGTATAACATAGTTAATTAGATAATTTACTAACTTAATTATTAATTGATTTACTTCATTAGCCACTTGATGTATTATTCACTATTAATTTTTCATCAATAAGTCTAGCTCAAACACTAATTACTTTTCATATTTTTTTTTCACTAATAATAATAACTATTAATAGTATCTAATTTAGTTCAAACATTTGTTAATTTTGTTTTTATATAAAAAATTATTTATTTAATCTCATTTCATATTTTCTATAATTAATTATCACATCTATAATAAGTAATTATTTAAAAATTATGTTTTCTATTTCATTTTCTACTTTTGAATTTTAAGAATGTTACATAAGTAACACGATATGCCTAACAACAATTAATAATCATTAAAATAAACTTTGACACTATTTTAGAAATTGGGCTTGAGCTTAATTCAATTCGACAAAATCAAATTTTTAAGGTGAATACTACTTCCTACTTATATATATTATTATGATCTTATTTCTAATAACTGTGACAACTCCAACATCTTAGACAATAATAGTATAATGTATTTAAAAAGTTTCAAGCCCACGTGACTTAAGCCTCCAAAGTTGAATGAGACTTTCAAATCAATTCCAATATGTTAAATAAAAACATTTTTCTTATCTGAGAACATTTTAAAAAGTTTATTTTTTTGACAAGAAAATTTTTAAAAATTCTTTTAACTTTTTATGGCTGATTAAGGTTGAGTGGGCTGACCTCTCCTGTGTTGTTTCTTTAGGGCCTTAGCCCATATGACTCTGGGCTCAATTGAGTGCGCTGGCCCATTTCAACGTCTCTCTCTAAACTAAAAACCCTAAACCCTAAAACGAATTCCGAAACGTAGAAGAAGCTACAGAGGGGACTCATTTGTTTGATCCTCGGAATCCTCACCGTTAGTGCTTTCTACTTTCTAGTTTCTAATTTCTACTCTCTTAGTGCAAATTTCAACTATGTGTAAAACAATTGATTCCTACGGTGTTATTAATCATTGGCAGACACCGAAATAGCTAGGAAACAAAGGAGCGTGAATGCGATGATGTCTGGGTACGTTAGACGAGCATTCTCGTACCGAAACGTGTTGTGGCTCCGAGGCTCAGGCGCTGTTCGTGCCTGTGAGGTGTCTTCAGTTAAAATTTGCGTGTCCGAAAGTAACGGATTCTTCGCTGGTCCGGCAACGCCTAATTTCGTTGCGGAAAGTCGCAGAGCCTTTGCCAAAGGGCGAAAGTCAAGTACGTCTTTGCTTCTCTCGCCACAAGTAATGATTTTTCTTATACCCGTTAGTTCTGTTTTCAGTTTTGTTGGTTTAATTTGAGGAGGGGAGTTGAATAAGCAGGTCTACATGATGGAGTTTCGTTTGGTGATTTTGTTTTTGTTTTTGTTTCTTTTTTTTTTTTTATAATTTTTTTTTATAGTTACACTTTGGATCGTTCCATTTTAAGTAATGAACTCCATGGATTGAAGCCTGATACTTGGTTAAGGAAATTAGAGTTTCAGTTTCAGATGGGTAACTCTTAACAAAAGTCAACGTTAAGTAAATTTCTACTTTCTAATTTCTAATTTCTACTCTCTTAGTGCAAATTTCAACTATGTGTAAAACAATTGGCAGAATATTTGATGTCTTAGTCTAACTATTATTGTTCATTATAAATGTTACTTGATTTAATGGTCATTTAATACATTTTAGAGGATGAAGGGGGTGTTGGTACAATTGAAGTTCCACCAAACGTTGGGCCTACTATTAAGGCAAATGCTGTCTCACAGATGGAGGCTGCAATGGCTGCATTATCAGCAGAGCTAAGCAAGCTACGAACAGGAAGGGCATCTCCAGGTGTATATTAATGCTATCACAATTGTTTATGGATCATCTGTGTCTTGAATCTTGATAGTTAGTACTCAGCGTGATAATGATGGGCACATCTGTACAGGAATGCTTGATCATATTATCGTTGAAACTAGTGGTTTGAAGATGCCTTTGAATCGGGTTGCTGTTGTTTCAGTCTTAGATCCAAAAACCTTGTCTGTTAATCCTTATGATCCAGAGGTATTTTATCTTGGGAGTTGGAAGTTTGATATTACTTATTTGTACAATGCTTAGTACTAAACTGGTATTATACTTTTGCGTATGACGTGGCTAACATCTGCAGACACTAAAGCAATTAGAGAATGCCATTGTTTCATCTCCATTGGGGTTAAATCCTAAATCAGATGGTGAAAGATTGATTGCTGTTATTCCACCGTAAGCACATATTCTATTGACATTCAGTTACTCATAACTGTCAGAGTGAATTTGGTTGGATATAGTAGCTGTTAATGAACTTGATTTTCAAGCTCAATATCAATTAACTAATTTACTTCTTCGCCGTGAAATGACCAGATTGACCAAAGAGCATATGCAGGTAAACTCATTACACTCCGTTTATCAAGCTCAATATCAATTAACTAATTATTGTGTACACTTTAAATGTCACTTATCATGCTGCTGTATCCTTTTGTTTGAAATTATTTCAGGCTATGACTAAGTTGGTTTCTAAATCATGTGAAGATGCTCGTCAGAGTATTAGAAGAGCTCGACAAAAGGTTTGGTGTGGCATTGATATTTCTTGGCTTTTATTCTTTTTAAAGTTTTTCCTTTTACTAATTTATTAAAGAATTGAGAAAAAAGGGTAGTTGTGGAATGATTGGAATTCTCCCTTTGAATATTTTCAACCTGCTTTAACTTGAATTATTTTTTGTCAGGCATTGATTAACATATCTTTTATGCTTAAGCACTCTGATGAATTTTCAAATATGTAATTGGTGCATTTCCGTACACTCCGTTCACCCTTGAAGGAATAGCTGCTTGAGTTTTAAAATGCGTTGTTTTTATTATTATGTCAGATGAAATATTTCTGAACTGAAAAAAGGCAATATCAGAGTCTGGTCCTATTTATTTTTTGCCTCTTGATTCTATCAAAATTCAAATTAAAAAGGGTGGTCCAAGTGTCATTATTTTATTATTTTTTTTTGAGTATACCATAATTTCTGCAGACTGTGATTAAAGTTGTTTATAAAACAGGCAATGGATGCGATAAAGAAGTTATATTCAAGTCTTCCCAAGGATGACATAAAAAGATTGGAGAAAGAAGTAACTTATATTATGCTTATTGCAGCTGATAAGATAACTGGATTCCATAGCTTTGGTAGTTTGATTTATGATATTTCCTTCTTACAGGTTGACGATTTGACAAAAAAATTTATCAAGACTGCGGAAGATGTATGCAAGGCAAAAGAAAAAGAAATTAGTCAAGGTTGAGATATGCTGATGTAACTTTTAGCCGAGGATTCACTGCTTCGTTTCTCCTTTTAATGTGCTAGGACCTTGAATTTATGTGGTCTCAGCCGTGTGTCGTTAAATCAGTCATTACATGTATAAGAACTATTCTGGTGTTCCGGCAATTTTCTTTTATACATAAAATGAGCCCCCCAGTTTCTATCTATTGGTTTGGAGTTGCTACATTGGCAATTTTGTGGCAATTTTCTTTTATACATATGATTGATCAATATCTTGTGCTTATTATGGAGGTGTAGCAACGCACTTGTAGTCCAAATTTTTTAATGTTCTGTTCTAATCCTGGAGGGTGTCTAGTGGGGATATAAGTTGATCGAAGCTGACACTCAATTAAGAGTTAGTGATAGTATTTATTGACATCAAGTTCAGTGTTTCACCTTTTTTTTAATATCTTTTTGGATAAAAAATTTCATTTAACACTTGTAAGAAAAGAGAACACACCTTCTGAAGCATTTTTGAAAGCAATTTTTTAATTAATTGAAATTTATTAGAAAATAAAAAAGTAGGTGAGTCTTACGTCTTTATTAAATGATTCTTGATTTTGTAATTTTAAATAATAAGAGAAGTGTTTTAGAATGTCTTATCCCAAGGATGACATAAAAAGATTGGAGAAAGAAGTAACTTATATTATGCTTATTGCAGCTGATAAGATAACTGGATTCCATAGCTTTGGTAGTTTGATTTATGATATTTCCTTCTTACAGGTTGACGATTTGACAAAAAAATTTATCAAGACTGCGGAAGATGTATGCAAGGCAAAAGAAAAAGAAATTAGTCAAGGTTGAGATATGCTGATGTAACTTTTAGCCGAGGATTCACTGCTTCGTTTCTCCTTTTAATGTGCTAGGACCTTGAATTTATGTGGTCTCAGCCGTGTGTCGTTAAATCAGTCATTACATGTATAAGAACTATTCTGGTGTTCCGGCAATTTTCTTTTATACATAAAATGAGCCCCCCAGTTTCTATCTATTGGTTTGGAGTTGCTACATTGGCAATTTTGTGGCAATTTTCTTTTATACATATGATTGATCAATATCTTGTGCTTATTATGGAGGTGTAGCAACGCACTTGTAGTCCAAATTTTTTAATGTTCTGTTCTAATCCTGGAGGGTCTATAGTGGGGATATAAGTTGATCGAAGCTGACACTCAATTAAGAGTTAGTGATAGTATTTATTGACATCAAGTTCAGTGTTTCACCTTTTTTTTAATATCTTTTTGGATAAAAAATTTCATTTAACACTTGTAAGAAAAGAGAACACACCTTCTGAAGCATTTTTGAAAGCAATTTTTTAATTAATTGAAATTTATTAGAAAATAAAAAAGTAGGTGAGTCTTACGTCTTTATTAAATGATTCTTGATTTTGTAATTTTAAATAATAAGAGAAGTGTTTTAGAATGTCTTACTATTTCTTAGGTAAATAGTAGAAATATTCATTAGTTTTATAAGAGTATTTTTTTTTAAAATTTATGTTCAAGTTAATTATAACTTATAAAGATCTTTTTTTCTCTCTTTGAAGTGATTACGAATTTTATTGAAATCTGTTTTGTTGTTGTAGATTTTATTTTGTCATTGCTTGCTAGAAATTTATATTTTTTGTCAGTTACAATATTTCTTATCATGAGTGTATTAATCACAAATTTGATGAAAATTTAATTGGGTTTATGGAATCTAATTTGTGTATATATTTTTTTGTTACATTAATAATTTGATTATATATAGTTTCGGTTGGGTAATTTAACTTGGCTTATCAGGTTTAAGGATGTGTTTTGTAAAATTAGTATAATAGTTGAATTTATAAGTTAGTTGACAATTTATGAGCTATAAGATAGAAGTTGAAAGATTCAGTAGTTATAAATTAAATAATTAAATTAAAAATATTTGATAAAACTAATTAGTAAACTATTTGATAAATGTAAAATCACATTACAACGTGTTTGGATAAAGAATTTAAAAAATTTAAAGAACTTGAAATTTTTAGAATTTAAATTATTTTAATTTTAAATTTTCATCATTTTTTAAATATGTTGTTTGAACAAGTTAATACATATTTTTGAAGTTTTAAATTTAGTTTGGATAGGCAATTTAATTTTCACTATGGATAAAATGGAATTAAAGCAAATATATATTAAAATTTTAAGATTAATTTATAAAATAAAATATTTACCAATTTCACAAAGATAATTTTTTTCTTGGATTCACAAAGAAATATTTCCAAGAAGATCACACAAATCAAAATAGATCACAAAGTTTTGCTCAAAATCACTTGCTTGCATTTCTGTATGTGAAAATCAATTTTATAAAGTTTTCAGACCTAGATAATTGATTATTTCAATGGATAATCGATTATTTTGTTCTTAGCAGTTCTATAAATCACTCAAGAACAGAATAATCAATTATTTCATATGATAATAGATTATTCCAGAGAGCACATTATGGGATAATCAATTATTACAGTGTTTTTCAAACAGGGCAAATAATCGATTATTGTTAATGAATAATTGATTATTTAATCGATTATTGTTAATGAATAATTGATTATTTTGAGTTGATTCTCAAAATTTGATTTTAAACGGTCAGAAACTTTCCAAGTTATGCTCTATCATCATTATATTAATTTTAAGGCAATTAAGATAAAGATTTGACACATGTACAAAGCATAATAACATAAACATGCATAAGACAAAACAATCAAGCAACTACTGCTCATAAACTACTCTATTAAATTTAAACATTCAAATAGCTAATGATTTTCAATCTTCTCCTTTGTAATCATCAAAACACTTCAGAAGTTGATTCACCATCCATGAAGCTCAACAACAACCTTTACTTTTTGTTGTCGCAACTTTGTTCGTGGAACCCTTGGCAATTATTGACATGACGATCCAATGCTAAATTATTACAATGCATGGAAGCCATGTCGAGACATAATGAAGAAGCTCTAATAGTCCTTTGTCGACAATGTGAGACCAATCAAGCACGTTACAAAGCTGATCGTGAACATTACTAATAGAAACTCTAGGCTCTACACTAAGAGAATAATGGCATTCCTTCAAGAACCAATATCTTAACAACAGAGGAGTACATGACCTCCAAATCGACTTGAGACATTTATGTCGTGTAAAACATCCTACTTATTATAAAGGGGATACATTTTAATAACCACTCTTTTGGTCTCCACTTTTTAGTGGACCTTTATACCCCTTGAATGTAAAAAAAAAAAAAAACTTCTTATATCTTCTACAACTTCTAATATTTGTCTACATATAATTATTAGAGACACGAATTACCTCGGCCCCTCTAGTATATATAAGTGAAATAAAAAAAAGAGAAATTTTAAATTCTCACTTTATAAGAAATTTTAACAAAATACTTGAATTTTAAATTCTTTATAAATTTTTCATCCAAACAAAGTATTTTACACTAAAACATTTGAAATATTTTAAAAAATTGAATTACTATTTGATAAATGTAAAATGACATTACAATGTGTTTGGATAAAAAATATTAAAAAATTAAAGAACTTGAATTTCTTAGAATTTAAATTATTTTGATTTTAATTTTCATATATTTTAAAATATTTTGTTTGGACAAGTTAATACAAGTTTTAATTTTAAGTTTGGATAGGCAATTTAATTTTCACCATAGATAAAATTGAATTTAAACAAATATACATTGAAATTTTAAGATTTAGTTTTATAAAATTAAATATTAACTAATTTTAAATATTTAATATTGTTTTTTAAAAAAATAATATTAGATAGTATTTAATAATTTAAAAACAATTTTAAATATTCAATAATTAAAAAATAACTTTCCATATTTTCTATGTCGACTTTGAAAGAGAGAAGAGGAAGGTAAGAGAAATAAAAGAAAGAATTTGAAATTTTACGATTTTAAGAAATTTTAACAAATGCTTGAATTTAAATTCTTTGTAAGTTTTTCATCCAAAAAAAGTATTTTACACTAAAGTATTTAAAATGTGTTAAAAAAATTAAATTACTTCATTAAAATCCTATGTCCAAATACACTCTTGAAGAATTTATAAAACAAGTAAGAGAATAACATGAAAGGTAAATGATTTCTAAATAAGAAAAGGGTTATAAAAGATTTCAAAAATATTAATAAGGCTAACATGGTAAAATAAAGAGAAACGAAAACTTTATAACTTTTAAATTAATTCAATTAATGCTAGTTAAAGTTATTTAGATTATTTAGTAAGTGTAAGTATCATTCAAAATTTCTTATTTGATAAAACTTTTTTTACTTAGGAATAATAAGAAGAAATATTATTCAATATTTCTAGATATTGAAAATTAAATTTTGGATATTTACAATGATCATTGTTTTTTTAAATGAATAGGTTTTTTTTAGCTATCTAAATAATGTTTCTAAGAATGATGATGATCATTACATGTATTATAATAAATTTAGTTGGAATAATAATATTAATAGTTGCAATAATAGTTATCTTCATTCTCAGATATGTATTGATAGTTTTATTTTAAGTGATAATGACAAATACAATGATAGTTATTTTTATAGTTACATTTTTGGTAAGGATAGAAATTATAGTGAAAGTGAGAATTCTAGTTCTCGTACAAAAACTAGGACGAATGATACAAATGATAATAATTCTACAATAGGTAAAAGTTCTAATAATCTCAATGAAAGTAAAAAAATATAAGCATTTGTGGATTGAATACAAAAATTGTTATGGATTAAATTATAAAAAAAATTTGAAATCTAAAATTAATATTTGTGAATACTGTTGATATCATTTGAAAATGGGAAAGTTCTTATAGAATTGAACTTTTGATTGATCTAGGTAATTGAAATCACCCGTTTGATAGAATATGCTACCAATCAACTTTTACCTCTTATTCTAGTATGTGTGTCTGGGGGGCGCGCATATGCAAGAAGGAGGTTTGAGCTTGATGCAAATGACTAAAATTTCTTAAGCTTTATATGATTATCAAACAAATAAAAGTTATTCTAAGTAACAGTATTTGCATCTCCTACTATTGGAAGGGTGACAACTAGTTTTGGCATGTTGGGGATATTATTATTGTCGAACTAAATGTTTATATTGTATTTGCAAGTAAAAGAGTAATTGAACAAACATTGTAAAGTAGTATCCAAAGGTTCACAAGTAGCTAAATATTTATTCCAAAAAGGACTTATTTGATTCAATTGTATGTGTTATCTTTAAAATGATGTTTTGAGTGAGTTATTTCAATTCCATAATTTCTTTTCTTTGACTAAAAAATAAGGCATAGCCAAAAAATTCTTATTTTTCAGTCAAAGAAAAGAAATTATAAAAAAATATGTAAAAAATGAAAACATACATGGTCAAAGTATTAAAAGAATAAACAAATGATGTATTATGATACATATGTTTGTTTCTTTTAGAAATGGAAGGTGAAATGAAATAAATTCATTTATTTAGTTCAACATATATAGCTAATTATATAATATGTACATATCTATCTATATAGGAATTCTAGTGATTATATACTATCTTTATAACAATATAAATAAGAAAAAAAATAGAAAATAATAATATTTATTTTATGAGGTACAAATAGTAAATCGAAGTACCTATTTTATGATAAACTTTCCTTCTATTTTTGTTCCTTTAGTGGGCCTAATTTTTCTGACAATTGCAATGACTTCTTTATTTCTTCATGTGAAAAAAAAACAAGATTTTTCTAGATACGGCAAGTAGGGACAAATCTCATATATCAACTTAATTGTATCTCTTAATTAAGTTGTCTAAAGTTTGAATCCTAACTTTAGATATAATCTTCAAACGATTGATACTTTATACCAATATTATAGTTATAAATAAAAAAAATAAAAAAATAACCTATTAAAACAAAATCAAAGTGATATTTCTTATAGCGTATTTTAATCTTAAAATATCATATAAAATTAACCTTTTAGATTTTATAATAAAATATATAATTTATCAACTTCCAAATTATCCTTTAAAACATATAAATAATTATTTAAAATGCTAATAAAAAAACTTATTTAAAACATATAAAATAATATTTTTTTTATAATAATAAAATAATATTGACCAAATATTATATAAAAAGGACTGCAATTCAATTTTCTATCACATATATATAGTGCTGCTGATTGCAGGAACTAGACATATATTGCAAACCACCTTTTGTTGTGATTTTTTTTTTATCAGTATACCAAGGGATTGATTACAACAACTCACACACACCACTTATCAATTGAGCTAAATCTCCTTAGTTCTCCTTTTTTCATATGTTTCTGAACAACTTTTACTTACCAACATCAGGGAGACCTTCCTTCCTAATAACAAATGTCCTTTTCCTCTCATGATCTAGCACTGCAATTATGTTTGGAGAGCCAAGATAAACTCGATCCACCTGCCACGAAGGAATGATGAATTTTCAAAACCTCTTAGTTCATAGTCTTCATCATGTCAAAACCTAAAGACTACAGTGAATTTGATATGTGATTGACAAGACTGCATAGGAATAGGCCTAGGCTAGATATAATGTGCTATAGTTACCACAACATCAAGCAAAAGCTTAAATTGCATCATGGAACTATAAATAATATCTATCTGTTGTAAACATGAATATTACCTCAGATTCAAATGTTATCGCATCTCCTTGTTCTGTAAATCGTTCTTTTTGAAAAAGATTGTCTAGGTAATCTAGTGTTTCCAGACCTTCAATCCTTATCTCACTACACAACATTGTTAATATGAGTACTGATTACTTGTTCTAAAACAAACAAAAGAAGGATAGCTCAATTATAAAAAAATTGTCCTTATAATAAATGCAGAAAATACATTTCAGAACAATAAACCAAGTATTTGTCTCCAATAAATCCTGAAGAACGAAACATCATTTCTGCTAAAAAAAAACTTTAATTAAGTGTTCCAGAAGTCAATTTACAATGTAAAAGAAACAAATGAGGTTGGGCATCATCCTACAGGCTTAGGAAAGGGAATGAAGGACATTATAAGAAAGAATTATCCATACCTAATGTCAGAAACCAATAAGTATGTGTGATGTGCGAATGAGAAACTAAATGGCTTGCCATTTATATTCCTCACTCTAGATATCAAACTCAGGTCCCCATCTGTCGAAAGAGCCACCCGGAGACGGAATTCAAAACTGGTAAAATTAAGCAATCTTTAGCTTACCACTGCTTGAAATTTACTTCAAAACACACAAGAAAGTGATATCAAGTGCATATGTCAGATTCAAACAATCAAAACCGCATGCAGATATCCATGTGATTCTGTCACACCGAGCTAATAGGCTAAGTGAATCATAATCCATGGTGGCATTCAAGTTCATACCTATGTGGCCAGCACTTGATATCTTCTTCAGATGACTTAAGTAGCAGGTCAATGAAGGATTTCCCACTGGAATCATTTGCATGCAGAGGAGGAGGATTATCATCAATTGTCCACATTCTATTTCTCGCAAAACCATGCTGCTCCAGTGATCCACAATTTCCAAACTGTTAAACAGGTTCAGCCTAAGATATGTGAGTTATGTATGTTACAATTTATTAAAATGAACAAAGTAGTTTTACCTGTGGAAAACATACAGGAATTCCTCCTCGTATTGCTTTTGGAGCCTTGAAAATTGCCTACAATCAATTGAAAATATAAGACAAAAGAGTAAGTTATGACTACTTACCTCAAATACCATATAATAATAATAAAAACTGGGATGTTACATAATTAAATATTCTTTGATCTATATGTAAATTAGAATAATTATCTTGAACAAAAGGACTTTTAAAAGATTTTTGATATATATTTTTTTCAATGAATTTCTTTTAAAAAATTTATTTTAACCTCTTATATCTTGTTATTTTTATTTTTTAATTAAATTTTAATATTCTAAAATAAATTATTAATAGTTGAATCAAAATATAAATTATTTTTACATATTTT